GGAGTATTTTTGCAGGAAGTGCATACAGTTCAAATTCTAGCAAGTCATGCTCTGCTCAAATAATGACGTTAAATACTTTTGAACATCAGTTTGTCCATCTCTTGTCTTTGGTTTTTCTCTGCTGGTGTCACTAAAATAATTACTTTTTAAAATAAGGATTACCATGGAGTGCTGTAAAAGTCTCCTATCAGCATCAGAAACAGCTCTTTGATCCTCATCAGTGAGCTCCACAATGCAAAGTAATTATACTTTCCTTTTTATGTGGGAGAATTCATTTCAGTAGAGGTGTTCAAAGTTTAGAAGACCCGACTTCAGAGTTTTAATTAATGACTTTTGTATTTGGCTCCCTGCTTCCATTTGCAGAAGTGCTGGATGACAGACTCTTGATTTCTCTTGCTGTGCCAGGGTATCACTGAATGAATGCTCCTATTTGCATTTGCAAGAAGAAAGCCTTAAAAGAATATCTGCCAATATTGTATTTCCAGGGTAGGCAGCCGTCCTGCCATGACTGGAACTAGGACTTTTAGAGACCCTGTGTTTTGCGCCAGCATGGGGCTCCAGCCATACTTCAGATGCCATAGGGGACCCAAGCATTTGGGGCCCTGAGGAAATGGAGCTGTGACCTTCATTGTGGAAGCAGGGATGTGATGCACCACTCCAACCTCTCTGGATCTGAATGTGTCTCATACTATGTCAGGCTGCTTTAGATTCCCTAGCCCAAATGACTGGTTACCCATTGCAGCTGGGACAACTTCAGCATGATTCTTGAGGAAGGCTCAGGCTTGTACCTCTGGACCTGCAGCACCCACAGTGAGCTAACTAAAGAAACCTGCATGTGCTCATTAACTCGGGGTATGGATACACAGACAAACTACTGGGAGAGAGTGAGGGCAGGGCTTCATAGTATCACTTGCTCTGTGATAACTGATGTTCTGCATGATCTTTCCCTGTGGCACAGGAAAGCTAAACTCTGGTAGCTTAGCCCCCTCTGAAGGAGCGGTAGGATCCCACTTGTGTGGTATGCCCAAGTGGCTTTTTTATTTTAATGGCATATACAGGTTCCCCTCGCTTTAAGCTGTACATGCGTTCCTGGAAAACGGTGCATAACTTGAGTTTGTGTAAAGGGAACCCACTTTACAATATAACAAATAGGGATATGTTCCAAGACCTCAACTGTAATGACCCGCAGACTCATTTCTACCACTTTTACAAGACAATTTTGGTACTTGCCAACAGCAGACAGTACACACAAGCACAGGACACTGTCATAATGGGGATGGCAATTACAGAAACACATGTCGCAGACAACAAGCGGAGAGCACAGATCTACACAGGAGACTATAATTTGGTGCATATCACTTATGGTTGACTGATGCCTCCTGAGTCTGGGGGGGCACCCACAGAAGCTGGCAAAGACATTGGTGTCGGGGACAGTGCTGGCGAGCACCCACAGAAGCTGCCAGCAGTGTTGGTGGCAGGGACAGGGCTGGTGACCACCCACAGAAGCATGTGGCAGCAGGGATGGGGTTGGTGACCAACTGCAGAAGCTGGCGTCAGCATCGGTGGCAGGGATGGAGCTGGTGACCACCCACAGAAGCCAGTGGCGGGGACAGCCCGGGGGAGGGGGCAAGTGCCCCCCCACCAGTGGTCTATGGCACCACTCCCACAATGCACTGCATAAAGCAGCTGACTGTGGGCTTCCACCACAACAATTGAATAAGGGTGAATTCATAGATTCATAGATTCATAGATTAAGGGTCGGAAGGGACCTAGTAGATCTTCTAGCCCGACCCCCCGCCAGGGCGGGAGAACAACAAAAAACCCCAAAAAGAGAAACGGGACTCAAATGAGTCCAGCCAGGTAGGCATCCAGCCTCTTCTTAAAGACCCCCAGGGTAGGGGCCAGCACCACTTCCCTTGGAAGTTGGTTCCAGCTCCTAGCCGCCCTAACCGTGAAGTAGTTTTTGCGGATGTCCAATCTATACCTCCTCTCCATCAGCTTGTGCCCATTACTCCTTGTTATGCCAGCGGGCGCTAGGGGAAACAGCGTCTCCCCCAAACCCTTCTGGTCCCCCCTAGTGAGTCTATAGACAGTCACCAGGTCCCCCCTTAGCCTTCTCTTGTGGAGGCTGAATAGGTTCAGGTCCCGCAGTCTCTCACTGTAGAGTCTGCCCTGTTGTCCCCGGATCATGCGGGTGGCCCTCCTCTGGACCCTCTCCATATTGTCCACATCCCTCTTGAAATGGGGCGCACAGAACTGGACACAATACTCCAGCTGTGGCCTGACCAGCGTCGCGTAGAGGGGGAGGATCACCTCCTTGGCTCTACTCGAGATGCACCTGTGGATGCATGACAAGGTCCGGTTAGCCCTGCCAACCATGACCTCGAATTTACCTTGTATATAACGAATTTTTGGTATAAAAAGTGTCATCGCATAAGAGTGAATTCACACATACAGAACCCATGTAAAGCATGGGGAACATGTATTTAGTTTATTTGGCAAAGCCAGTGACTCAGTGATGAGCCAAAACATTTCTGCAAACTGGCAAGGTGACACCTGCAGCATAGCTTGTAAAGCCCCTACAGGTTGTGCAGTGGCATACTGAATCTTGAGACAGAGGAAAATAACTGCATCAGAATGGAAACTATAGGCCAGTCAGTCTTACCTCGATCCTGGGTAAGCTTTTTGAGAGAATTATCCTGGCACATGTCCATGAGGGGCCAG